TGTTGTTTTCCAGATGCCTAAAGCCTAGTAATATGAGGACATATTCTAATCCCACACTTCATCGGAGGAGGGTGGCAGCTTTAGAGAAAGAGATCCAAGCTCAAAATAAGGAAGAATTTCCGACTGTGAGAGCTATTACACAGTGGAACAGCCTGACTCTTAGAGTCCTTGGTGGTCTGTCTCTGGAGGTTCCCAAACAAAGGTTGGACAGCCATTTGTCTGGGATGATTTGAGGATTCCTGCTCTGGGCAGGGGATAGTTGTATTAGTTGACCTCCAAGCTCCCTTCCAACCCTAGGAGCATAGAAACTCCCTCCCCACAACTCTGAGCAACATTAGAAGACCCTGCCCTTTCCTACTAGAGGAAAAATGTAAAGTTATGCTGAGGACAAATTTTGGCTAACTATCAAGGCAAGCCAACACTTATTAAATCAGATATGGAGGGGAATTTGTTCTAAAATGTGCTGTTTCAAATAATTGAAAATTACCCAATATTTTTACTAATTTCTGCCTAGCCTCTTAGTACAGTTTCAACTGTTGGCAGTACCTGGCCAATCTTGTCAGGGTTGAAAAGCTAAATCGAGTTAGGTGTAGTTAAGACTTGGTTGGAAGACCATTACAGAATCTCAGGGTGTAAAGAGGACCCATTAATCAAGAAGCCATCACAGAAAAGCAGTTATTACAAGTTTTGTATTGTTGCCAAGATGATTGTATGAACATATCCATGAGGTTAGTAGAAGTCAAGCTTGACTGGAAAGAAACTTTATTTACTTTTACCTTTATCACTGACCCCTATGATTTGGTCTTGTGAACTATTGGTATTCTTTTAGAATAGCATGTCAATGTATGTAAGTAGATTCATGGGGAAATCCTAATGTTAAATTAGTTAATGGGATGCTGAATTATAACCCAAAACTCTAGAATCCGACTCTCTTTGAGGAATTATAGTTGTACCGGGCATGAGAAGTGGCAACAAGAATTATATTGAGAATTGGGAAAAGTGGTATTTGTCTAGGCATTAAGGATTGGCTCTTGCTGTAATTTATCCATTCTGGAAAAAGCAATATTTTCAACTAATCAGAGAATGAAGCAATATGTTCTTCTCTGGAATATATTTCATGAAATTTTACAATAATACAGTGGTATTTTTAGGTAACAGTTTTTTATATTTCTGTATTTGATAATAATATAGTATTACAAGGTATCTTTTGTAAACCAGTGACATCTATACATTTAATCTATATTTTAGATGTTTAATATTACATCTTAATTTGTTAAGTTTTGTTACAGTCTTTAAAAGTTTGGGGAGGGGTCTTTTTTTTATATATTGGCTTGGTTTAGGTTTTATTTTGTTGTTTATTGTTTTTAGTATTCCACAGCCCTTTTCTATTGGCTATCTTTTCTATTCTGGTACTGTATTCTGTGTTTTTTGTAACCTTCTTATAATAAAAAAAATTTTTTTTTTTTTTAAAACCCAAGTACCATAGATAGCATTTGTCTGCTCCAGTATCTTTCCATAACTTCTGCCTTCTCCCATTCATCAGCAGTGTTTGTGTGTTAGTGTGTGTGTGTTTTAATACAAAGCTGCTACTGAGCCATTAGTAAATATGTTCCTCTTCTTGGGAAATCCAGTAGATTTCCTTCTAATACATTACTGCATCCTTTGGGGCATCACATTCTGAATTTGTTTCTAGCTGATTAGTCTGCATGGGACAATGAATAAAAATAAGATCAGGCCCCCTGAAGAACATGGCAGGATCCTTTGCTGGAGAAGAGTCTCTGTTTTGCTGGTGGGGTTAATTGTACGGGGGCAACCGGAGGCACGTGACCTAACCAGCCAACCCCGTTAGCGCAGCATTTGTCTGATCCCTCTCTGTTCTCAAAATGGACAACCCTTGACACTCCTTCTTCTTGTGGCTCTTGCCATATATCCTTTTCACCGAGAGCCCCGGGTCGGCATCCATAAATCTCTCGTTGGCTTGTATTCCCTGACTATGAATGCCACTCAGGAGCCTCAGGCCTCTCTCCTCTAAAGCTGCTATTTTGCACCACTTCCTGGGAAGACGTAATAAACTGGCAAAGCTCATGGCAGCTTCTATTGCTACTGTAAATCCGTAGGTCCCTCCACCCAGTTCGTTCAAAAGCTACAGACGGTGGCTGCACCCAAGGCATTTCTGCCAGTATCTGTGCCACTTAGAATGAGCCCTCGAAGAAGAGGAGAAGGAGGATAATGTTTTCTCAGGACCCCGTGGTACAGCGGAGAGGAGAAAAGGCACCCTCCCTCAGCCAGAGGACGGACTGTGCATTTGTATGTGAATCAGATCTGAAAATAATTTAAGTCCCCAATTTTATACTCTGCATTTTTCAGATGGCTGCTGCAGCAGGAAGAATCACCTAATAAAACTCACTTAGGAGCATCTCTGCCTGGCAGGGAGAAGTCTGCCTTGGAGCCTTGGAAGGCGGCCCAATTGCCGCGTACCCCACGTTCTGGCTGAACCGAATGCTGGATTCACGTTTATGCTGCACAATGAAGCTGGATACAGGTGGCTTTGCAGCTGGCCAGGAGATTTAAACGGGGCCCTGCAGAGAATCAGCCTTAAGCTGAAGCCCCAAGTAGGCTTTACGGGCTAGTCTAAAAACCGGATTATTTCTCAGACACCCTTAAGTTGAGTTTGCTCCTGGTGACTGCATCCATGCAGGGGTTTTCTGGCAGTCTTACAGAAGTAATTTGCTCCTGGCCTCTTCTGGGATTATTCTTTTTTTCTTCTCAGACTAGCCTGCTGCCCTGGGATTCCCAAGCAATCTCCCATCCCAGTCCAAACTAGTCCTGCTTAGTTTCTGAGATCACCGAAGGTCAGTTAGGTGCTACCACCTGCTGAGGCATCCCCAGTTTTCCTAAAGTCTGGAGGAATCCCACAGAGCCAAGGCTTTAGCATGCACTAGAGAAACAGGCTACCAGTTGTATAACCAGCCCTTACAACTGATTTTCCTAGTCACTGTGGAATTTTCTTTTCCTGGGGGCTCCCCAGGGTGTGAACCTGGGCAGTTGTAGAATAGTGTGATACAACCTTGTTTGGCTGACCTGTTTTTTCGTACCTCTGGCTATATGATTTAGATTTGGTGGGTTTTGTATCAGTATTAGTAGGTTGTGGGTTATGTGCTACTTGCCAGTGTACTGATCTAATAGGGATAGGATGGATAGCTGTCAGTGATCCATTATCCTGGACAGAGTCTTCTCACTGCATAAAGTATCTATAGCTCCAAAGCAAATGGATTAGAAAACTGGTTCTGTTTATTAGCTTTTTGAAAGGGCAAGATACCTCAGTGCCTGGTGACCCAGGCCCTCACTTACAACTTTTACGTGATTTTCTTTGTATCCTTTCCTATTGAAATGACTATTCTGAGATTTACTGTGAAGGCGCAGATCAATACCAAAGATTTCACAGCAGGAATTTCTCAGAATTGAATTCTCAAGTAATAGGTGTGCAACTATTACTATTATAAAGGCATGATAAAAAAATAATCCAAGAATATAGATAATAATTTATTTGCAACTCTGGGGTAATGTGTTGATGGTCTGTAAAACCCTGTCAAATGGCAAGGAGATGTTACTGTATGTGTTCATGCCTATGTATTTGAATTCCCATTTGTACATAATGCGTGGTTTATGAGAAAGGGGATGAATGAGAGCACAGAACTTGTCTGTATGATGGAGCTCTCACTACACAGAATTTAATTATCTGGCTAACTGTTGGACAAAAAGTATATAAAGTCAGAAATAAATGGAAACTTCACCAAAAGAAGGACTGCTAGTAGGGGCAGATTCTTCCATTACTGCACAACGTGCTTAAGCTTTGCATTTTACTGCAGATCCAAAAGTGCAAGATTGCTATCCAGCAGAACTCGCATCAAAAGGACGGTTCTGGCAGGTGCAATTGCATATTGCATTACAGCGTCCGTGGCCTTGTGAGATGCGAGACGCTGCCTCGGACGGCAATTCTGGTTTCAACTTGTGTCAAGTGGACATGTTTGAGTATGATATGGCAGAGCCCTGAACTATATTACCGAAATGTCTCTGCCTTTTCTATTTACTTTGATAGGATCATGTTCTAAAATAGATACCCGTTCTCTTTTCAAGGAAAAGAGAATATTAAGTCTTCATATTAAGTCTTCTTGAATTCTCCATTCTATCTAGGCTCCCAAGCCAGATAGTTGTTTTTTTTTTAACTCATTCGGCCACACTATACTTGCCTCTCCTTCTCATGTCCCTTGACCCATACAAGTCTAACTTTCTTCAACTGTGTACCTTGACTTTGCCAGCTTCAATCCCCAGGGATTGGGGGAGAGGTTGACAGGGAGAAACAGCTTTTGGAAATCAGTATGCCATGCCAGTCATTACATCTCTGGAAGTGCCCAGAAGATCTCATCCAGTTTCTCTGGGCTGATGTCCGGGTAGGCAGCCAAGCTGAGCTAGGTACCCCACCCTTGCTGTATTGTCAAAGCAAAGCTTGCTTGGTGGCCTATTTATCGCAGGGCAAGAGGCTGAGCTGCAGCAGGTGAGGGGTTAAGTGCAGGCTCAGCTGTTCCGGATTTTCTTGGTTTCCTAGCGAGCTGTTTGATATCTGAATGCACAGGGGACTCCCCCGCCTCTCAACCCTCTCCTTCTCCCCCTACCCCCACGCGCACACGCACACACACACCCTTTGCAGACCATGCGTTCGTTCAGCCGCTTCGTCTAATGGCACCGACTCTCAGCCTGCACGCTGCTCCTTCGCTGCTTGAGCTGAGGACACAGAAGGCAGTTCCTCTCATGGAGCCCTCTTAAATAGCTCCACACGAGGGAGCTGCCAAAGGGGGAAAAAAAACGGAGAAAAAGCAAGTACTGTGAAGGGAAGAAGCAGAAGGAGCTGCCAACATCGCCGCTCCTGGGTTTGCTGGCGACCCATGCTCTGCTCGATGGCTAACTCAGGCTGCCTCCTGGTCTCCAACTCAGCCTTGCTCCCGCACTCTCTCCCTTGTCCCCCAGCCTTCCTCTACCTCCAGCAGGTAAGTCGCCTCTTTGTGCCTCCTGCTTCACACGTGGTTGGCATCCCCAGAGCTAAAGATCAGGGCTTCCGTAGCCCCTTCCCCAGTCTCCCCAAAGGCAGGTCCACCTTGCTCACAGGTTGGATATGGGCTCCAGGGTAACACCTGTGCGCTGTCTGGCTGCAGTAGGGCTGACTTGGCACTGAGCTCAAGATCAAAGAGATGACACTTCTCTGGGCTTGCTAATGGGGGTGCAGCAGTGTTCAACTTTACCTCCCCCCCTCCCCCATTAAGACAAATCGGTGGCTGTGTTGTATATCTAGAGTGTACCTGTTTGTGTTACCAGTGAATTCCATTTGGACTGTATTTAGAGCCTGATTTCTGCCAGCAAATGTGATGCATGTGGGCTTTTGATGGACTATCTTGCTCTTGCTGGCTTCCAATTGCCTTTTTGTTGCAGTCGAATTTTATGCTTCCAGGGTGGGCTGAATGTGACTGTTTTGTATGTATATGTGTGAAGTAATTTAAAAGATAGATCTGTCTGTCTCAACTTGGCCCTCCAAAGTGCTGCAACCCAATTTCCAGCCAGCTTTGGTTTTGCCAGGCGTGTCTCCCTTAGCTGAAGCATCTCGCTGCAATGTGAGTCTAGTTCCTTAACTTCTCTCAGGGGGAGGGGGGCTTGTGATGCCCACAGCATCCTCACCAGCAGGGCAACAGCACTTTCTTTCACTTTGGCACCGTGATCAAGGAGCTGCACATGCTTCTTGCCTGGGATCTCCAGAGGAAAGGAAGCCGTTGCTTCAAAAGTCTCTTTGCAGCATCGGAAATCCCTGTCTCCCAGCTGTGCTAACCCTTCCATTTGTGCTCAAAGGGGTTTTAAAAAATTCATAGCTTCCTAACTATTGGCACTAAGTAGTTGACGTGGTCAGCCACCTTTGGGGTGGAAGGGCAGTCCCAGCTTGTTCTAAAATCTTAATTAAAAAAAGGAAGGTCATTGTTGTCGTTTGCTTTAGTGCTTCAAACCTTTGAATGGAAGGAGATGATAACTCACCCCTAGGACTTCCTTAAGTTTGCAGAGTAACGTGGCTGCTTTTTTCTCTCAGCAATCTGGAGAAGGGGAATTCTCTGAATCATGGTTTTCTCTGCTCTTAGTACATGTCAGTCAGAGCACCAGAATGGAATGGCTCCTGTTCCAGAGGAAGTGTGGGGTTTTGGAGGAGAAGCTCTCTGTAATTTCAGTGTCTTCTTGCATATGCTTGGAATTCCCTGGGAAAATGAAGACTCATTCAGAAAAATATCACAGTCAGCTGCATGAGGGATTTATGAATACTTGAAGGGAATACTAGAGGAGCCTCTCTTGCTTTGAACTAGAAGACAGACTGGGCTAATATGATTAAAACACGGAGGGTATTCTGTTAGGGGAATCCTTTGGGGGTTTTGCTTTTGGTCGCACTGCGTAGCACTTCAGCCAGCTAAGACTTCAGCAACGCTGCATGGACGTTTTGCCTGGTGCATATTGCATTTCCTCTAGACTGGGCAAGGAAATATTGCAAGCAAGTTCATTAAATGAGTGGCTAGAGCCCAAAACATCAGCACAGGGGAATTTAGGGAAAGGAGAAGCTTCACTGAATAGCTTCATTTTCTTAGCCTTTCTCAAGCGTCCTTATTTTTATCTAGCCTCCCCACCCTCTCTGCTTTCTAAGCCTCTTCCACTTTGTTTGCAGGTATTAAGGGTGTTGGTGGGGGGGATCGTCTTTCTCCTCTCTTACACTGGGCAGGAAACAGTCTGCATTTGAAGTTTCTATTCAGAATAATATTTAAAAGTAAGAAAAATGTAACTGGCAAAAACTGTGTATGCCAAGGACTTAAGGAGAGGCCTGTGTGAAAGCTGCAGCTTGTGACACAATTGTTCATATCCTGTCCCCCACCATTTTGATTCAGGGTTATTCCTTTGAGGCCCTGCTGCCTGTGGCGTGGTGACTGAGGGCAGGCTCACAGCCGTGGTTCACTTTGGGGCATTCAAGAGTAGCTCTAGGCTTGAACGTTAACCTTAATTGTGGCTTGGTTCTTGTGGTGTAACTATAGGATGAAAGAACCACATTTGATAGTAAGCAGGCTGCCTGAGATCTCTGCTGTCCAAGGAATTTTCACCCAAGTTGAAAACTTGAATCTTTACAGTTGATTATGGAAACCAGATTATTTAGATCCATCAACACATGTTTGTCAGATAATATCAAGGGTGTTCAGTTGTAATTTATCTCCAGCTCTTATTTCAATTGGCAGAAGTTTGGTGGACATTCAGACAACAATGTCAGAGCCAGTTCAAGATTTTGACATCAGCAAGAAAAAGCCCAAATGCTGTGCACGCACACACACAGACACATTCTCATATTCCTATAATAATTAGATAATTGACAGTTTTGCAAAATTTTAATGGAGCTTCCAAATCTGCAAATTGAAGCTGCCATTTCACTGCATCCCCAGTGGGATATGCGTGTTTTTTCCCATTTCTTTTATTTAATATTTGTTCCTACAGACACCTTTTATAAAAACAATACTTTTTAATAGCTGGGGTAAGATATTAGTTAAATGGATCATTGGCCTAACGCAGTGCCAGTGGGCTTTATCACACTAATTTATCTTGTTTGCAGAATAAAGATACTTCATCCAGAAGTTTAAAAATTAAATATTTAGGCTCAGTTTTAATAGTGATGGTGCTAATATGTTCAGTCATAATAGGATTATATTGGTACATATTTAACATTTGGTTATATATTCACAGATGTGAAATGCAAAAGGACCACTAGTGCAATCTCTAGTGACCCTTTATCTCTCATAGACGCATTAAGTGTTCAGAGCTTCCCCTCTAAACTTCAAGATTAAAAACCATAAAAATAAGTGTCTCCTTCATTAGTCCTTGCTAATTGCTTGACACTTGGTGTGCATATAAATGGATGTGTGTACATATTGTATATTATGTTAGTTTAACTGATCAATTTGGAAGTGGGAGGACATGGCCAAAATATTGCATTAATTTTGGTTAGCAAAAGTATAATCTTACATAGCATTACAGGCAAATTCAGAATGGGTTCCAGAAACGAAAGCTTTAGAAAACAGGTTTGAATAGTTGAATTTATCCTGCCTATAGATAAGTAATAAGTGTGGGGCTAAATAAATTAATGTGCTTTTATAATGGATACCTGTGCATAAGTGTCATTTATACATACGTGATGACATATATTTTAGAAGTGTAGAAGTAGATGGAAAATGTGCGGCTTTATAGTTGGCGCAAGCTGAAGATTATTATTGTGTGTGTCCAACGACAGGCTGAATGCTGATGTGAATTTCCACACTATTGGCAGGGAACACTACTAGTAAACGGTAAGGCTGAAATTGGGTGTTACCGCTGCCCAAATAAAATTTGAACGTTTGGTTCATTAAGTTTGATTTGTTCCATCCCTAGGAAATGCCAAAGTTTTAGTTGAATTACTTTAATATAAATTTACCCCTTATATATTAAGATATTAAGATGTGCTTGTCCTATAATATGGTGTGATCCACTGTCACCCATATCCCATTGCAGATGCATTGTTATTTTTTAATTTGGAGATCGGCAAATTAACATGCCTACCACATGCTAGCTAAAGTCTGAAGGCTGCTTCAGATCCTGTCAAGATGTTGAGTTACTCTAAACTGTGTGTGCCTCCAAAATGGAAATACTTTCCTGGGACAAAACACACAGGTTTAACTCTTTGCAAAATCCTGTTTTGAATTTTGAGTTGATGTTCCCACATGTATTTGTAAAATTCAGTTGCTATTACAATCACTTAGCACTCACCCATGTTCTGTCTTAACTAAGGGGATGAAAGAGTAGAGTTCTGTCTATGAAGAGGACTCATAATTTCTTATACACTTAGGGCACACAGTGCACACATAGATTTGGAAACCAATTATCTGTTGACAGAAGCCATAGTAAAAGGCAAATTTTGCCCTTGCTGGGGTTTTATTAAAATGAAGCGCGCACACACACCATCCCTTGTTCAGTTTGACATCTTAATATTTCATTATGGTCTCCAATATTTGGAAGACAATGATTTATCAAAAGTTGGTGGCAAAACACAACCAGAAGAGCCTAGGCTATGCTGCCACCTTCCGAAAACCCTCCAGGTTCTGCTGCCAAGATTTGTATGATGGATCTCACAGACATGACATGCAACAGAAACCATCCATTTAGCTGGCAAGTAGAAGGTTCTCTTGGGTGCAGAAGGGAAGAAGTTGGGAAGAAGAAAGAGGTGGACCCAGGGTGTGTGCAGGTTGCATTGTGCAAAAAGCAAGATGGGTTAGCCACAGGATTGTGGCTGACCTAAATCAGAGATAAATTAAAGAGATTCTACAAAGGTACCAGAGAATTTTGCTCATAATGTGGTATTCTTTTCTTGGTGCAGCAGAATCAACAGAGATAACAGTCATGCTGTTCAGTAGCTTGGTGCTTAAAAATTGCCCTCATCCTCATTAGATTTCTCCTGCAAGCAGCTTCCTCTTGCACCACTTGGTTCAAGCTCCACTCCACCATGAATCATCCTGCAGAGCCGGTAACACGTTCAGTAGACCCAGCAGTCAGCACTGACTTTGTTAATGCGGGTTAATTTGTGGAGGAGGTCAACGCTTCTGTTCAGTTTACCCACACTGATGCATGTTGTTTGAGGTTTGAAGGCCGCAGGGATCCTACAAAGTTTTGAGTCAACCTAAGCAGAGTTTATCTCAAAATGATAATGCCTTCCTGAACTGAAAATGGCCATAGCTTAAAAGCAACTTGGAGGTGGGGGAATGATGTCAGCAAGTTAAAAACATCTCTGAAGAATAGGTGTTCCTTCGTCACCAATCCCATTGTTGCAAATGTAATCCTTTCTTAGTTATGCTACTGCTTCTTCAACCCTTTCAATATTTTTTTCTTTATTTTTGACAGTCTCAGCCTAGCTAGGATCCTTTCTGCTCCCCTGCCCCCAACCTGGAAGCAGCAG